TCGGTTTCAAGAGCTTGAAACCGATGCATGCCATGTGGATGTGAGAGAGAATCAAATCTGCAGCGCTGAGTGTTTGGCTAATTATAGCAGTAGTAATTCTTCAGCGTGAGGTGCCAGTCTAAGTGAGTATGTTAACAGTCTGTCGCTTCACGAAGCGGCGCCAAGCACAGCCTCAGAGTGAGTGCAGTGATTTTCTGAGCCTGGAGTTTTGGAGCAGAAGAGCTCTGCTGTTGCCTGGTGAAATGGCAACATGTTGCAATGGGATTCCCATGGGTGACCTTGTTCCTTCCTGACATACCTCCTGTCATTAATTTTTGCAAAAAATCTCAGGGTAAAAAAGAAAAGGAAGCAATCTTCAGAAAGATTATTATGTAAAGTAATAGCTTAATATAAAAGGATATTTTAATTTGGTTGAATATTTTTGCTAAGAATAACCCAAGGATTCAGGCCACAATAGAGGAGACATGGAATAAAATGTGTTCAAGTTCCTGCCAGCAGCTGTAGGAATGTAAATTAGGAAGCTGAAAAACATGGATCATAAAAGTTGAAAAAGAAAGTAAGACTTTTATGTTGAACTGAGATTAAATTAGCAAAAAAGTTAGTCAAATTAATTTATAAAGCACCGTTCACAATTCAAAATCAAAAAGTGCTTCATAGTAAAATGAAAAAACAGTTCAATATACATAAAACAGTATAGAAGTAAAAGTAGAGATGAAACACTAAAATAGTAATAAAACCTAAAGATTGTAACTAAATACTTGTCTGAATAAAACAATATGATCCATTTTATTCTTTTTTTCCCCCCCTTTGTAAATTAAAGGCTTCCCTACAGCCATTCAAGTAAAAGTTTCAAACTAAGGAGAAATCTGTCTTAAAGAGAAATGATAAAAGTATAGGATTATTTGATTAAATTTTAATGTTGACAGTTTGTAAAATCTTATGTAGACATCTTATACATCTTTTCAGATGTATTAACTCTCAGAATATGTGTTATAAATGACTCTCGGCTTCTTTTTAAGACCAGTACTGATGGACTCACTGGGCTTCACAAGCTCACATCCTTTTTACGCTCTTAAGCTTTCAAAGAAGAAAGAAGAAAATAAAAAATGGGCTCCTGCACTTAAGCAGGAAAATTTGGATATAACCTTAGGGAGGAAATTAAGGAAAAAATAAAACATCAACTACAAGAGGGCAAAAAAGCCTACGAGAAGGTTTAAAGTGGTATATTTACAAAAAAAGGCACCATGAAAAGCATTGCAGGTGATGTTTTTCAACATTTGCTAGCTGGGTTGAGGATTTATTTTCTTCTAAGTTGTGTTCCTTGAGGTATAAGGTCAAGTACTGTATGTGGATCTCTGCAAGGCCAAGAGTCAAGAAGGACGTTGAAAAGACGTATCAAATGTCAAGCCATGCTCAGATCTAAAATGAAATATGTATTAGATTGGGTTTTTTTTGCAGCGATGCAGTATTTTGTGTAAAAGTGTCTCTTAGTGTGGTCTAAGTTTGGATTCTGGCAGAAAAATTCCTCACAAGGGGTGTACAAGAAGAAAGGGAATGTTATCGTGTGAATGCTGATTCAGCATTGATGAATATTGTTTTTCTGCCTTTTTTCCACAAGTTTTTGCAATTTGATTACTTCTGGTTGCATTTTTCCATTTGTGTCATTCGTACTGTAGTGCACAAGACATAAGTTCAAATTCAAGTAGGTTTTATTATCATTTTATCATATGTGGTACATGAGGTGGAACAAAAGTGTTTACACAGGGTCCCAGTTACATCCAACAAAAGCAAAAATATAAATTGTAAAAAGAAATAGTAAATAGGGATCTAAATAAAGGTTGAATGAATAGAAACTAAGATATATACTAAAACGAACACCAAACAGTACGCTAAAAGATCTAAGCTATACGCTAAACACTAATAATGTAAAACAATACAGTAATCCCTCACTACTTAGCGGTTTGTTTTTCGCGGACTCACTCTACATCACAGTCTTTCAAAATAAGATTGGGCATGACACACAATGGCTGATTGATGGATGACCGCACAATTGGCATGGAATTTTTATTTTAAATAAATTATTTTAAATGATTTAGCACCTGCTGCACCTTTGCACAGCCCACACTGCAGGAAAACTTACCTCCTGCAGTTGATCAGCTGATCTCTGTGGACAGCGGAGAAGTGGGCGTGGCCAAGAGAGCTTGCATGTGGCAGAGAGCTGAAATCATGATATTATGCGCTCTTTTAGAGCGTTTAGAGTTTAGAAACATTGTTTAGAATATTGCAAGAGTGCGAGAAGGGTTTAAAATGCCTTTATATATATATATATATATATATATATATATATATATATATATATCAGTGTATGAATGTGAAAATGCCCTGATTAGTCTCTTTAGAATGATTTGTTCAATTAGCTTTGTAGCGATCTAGTAGAGTGCTGTATGAATCGGTAAATGAGGACACAGATTGCAGTGTAAAGCACTTTGAGTATCTTGATCAGATAGAAAGGCGCTAGATAAGTACAGTCCATTTACCATTTACAACATGCAGCCTTTATTTTGAAAAACCTGCTCTGTTGGGATGACTCCTCCTAAAATCAGTGACAGAAAATAGTGACGTCTGTTGTGCCTCCGAAACTTGGAGCAGCAGTAAGTTTAAAAAGCAAAACATTATTATTGTAGTGCTGCTCCAACATGTTCTCCATCCTCATTATTTTCTTTCTAGACAACTACATCTTCTTTTGCCCAGACAGTATCTCTGAAGTCGTGCAATCTGATCTTGAGTCCAACTTATATTTACAGAACAAAACCTCGCTTGTTAGTTTTTTGGTCCTCCTGCCCAATGGTGAGGGCAGGAAGATGAAGCATGGAGGAAAAAATAAGAAAAAAATAATAATAATTTTAGCTGAAGACAATCTGATTCAAGTCTTTCTCATTTTCCTTCCATCAAAAAGTAAAGAAGCTGCAGACAGGAAGACACAGTAGGTCTCTTCCTGTTTTCTAAACTCTTCATCATGTTCTTTCACGGTAAACTTTCTCGCCGCCTGCTTGTGATAGCTCAGAACTGTTTCCTTTTTGTCAAACTTTGCATGAACTCCCTTTGTTTCTGCAAAGGCTGCTGGAAGTTGAGTCTTTTAATCTTCTTTTTTAAAATGAAACTGTGTGGTGTGTCACTTGTGAGGTTGTGGCATTCTGCATCTTTGGTGGGAAGTTTTTGAGGCTTCTTGTCCTAGAAACTACAGGAAGAGTCGAGTAGCTTTCACTTAGCAGTTCACATTTCAGATTGTTATTCAAACTATTTTTTTTTTCAGTCAAAGTGCAAAATAATCAGAAATTAATTTTAGCACAGTTTAGCATAAAGTTACAGCTAAGAATTTATTTGCTAGAAATGTTGTCTAACCTTTTCTTTGTCCCTAACCACAGTTTATTTGTTTACTTGATAAATAAATACGACAGTTTTGAGTGACTTTGCTGAGATCTGTTCAAGAAAATGAAACTGAAATCAAAAAGTTAAAATAGTCACAAAAAAAGCTAAAATTAGCAGGAAAAAAAAGCTAAGGTAAAGTATTAGCTAAATGAAATCTAAAATGACCTAAAGAGTTGCTCAAACTCCAAATAAGTAAAACGGTATCTATCAGCTAAAGATATTAAAACAGCAACTACAAGCTAAAATTAGTGTAACAGTAACTGTCAGGCTAAAATGAGTACATTTGAAGCTAAAAAATACAATTCGCAGAAAAATAAGTGTAAGCTCAAGTTATTAACAGACCTCATAAGCATCTAAAAGGTTAAGATAGTCAAACAATAACTAAATGTTAAAGTAAGCAAAACATTAGCTAAAAACAAAATTGACCAAATTGTAGATAAAAGCTACAAATAGCCAACAGCTAAAAGGTAAAACCAGTAATTATGAATAAAAATTTGCAAAATATTAGTTAAAGTTAGTGCCTCTCAGCGAGCAGGTCCCTGGTTCAAACCCCGGTCCAGGGGCCTTTCTGGGTGGAGTTTGCATGTTCTCTCCGTGCATGCGTGGGTTTTCTCCGGGTACTCCGGTTTCCTCCCACAGACCAAAAACATGCATGTTAGGCTGATTGGTAACTCTAAATTGTCCCTAGGTGTGAGTGAGAGAGTGAATGGTTGTTTGTCTTGTTTGTCTCTATGTGGCCCTGTGATGGACCTGCGACCTGTCCAGGGTGTACCCCGCCCCTCGCACAGTGATTGCTGGACATGGGCACCAGCGACCCCCGTGACCCAAAATGGAACAAACGGGTAAAGAAAATGGATGGATGGATGGATAGTTAAAGTTAGCAGAAATGTAGCTAAAAGCCAAAGTTAGCAGAACAGTAACTGTAAGATGAAGAATGGCTAAAAGCTAATTTTAACAAAACATCAACTAAAAGCCTAAATTAGCATCACAACATTAAAATTCATGAAAAAGAATTGTTTAAACTTTGATTTTCTCCTTACTACAGTCTCACTCAGAGACCAAACTGAATTTACAATGTAAATCAAAAAGGATTTAAGCTTCCAGTGATTAAGGACAGGTGGTCAGGAGGACAGGAGGAAAATACATTTGTCCAGAAAACCAAAGTGGCCACTTTCTATTTTTGTCCACAATCAAAATGACTTTAGAGATTTGACTTTGCTTAATCCGCTAAATGCCATAATCTGAAAAGGTTGTCCAAGTAAAACCTGAAGGATTATAACGCTGATCTTTCTGAATGTATTCACTGCTCTTCCAGGACATAAAATGTGAAATGACCAGAAGTATTTGAGTGATGTCACTGTTGAGTGCAAGTCTGTTCCTAATATTTGGCCTTATTTTTTTCTTTACATTATTTTTGATTCTTGTTGAGCCTGGATTGTTTTAAGCTCTGAAAAGCTGTGCAACAAACAATACCTGTTCCAAAATTGTGCATGTACACTGAAAATAAAGCGGGTTCCTCTGAGAAAGTTTTACTTATCTTTCTTTCTTTTTTTTTGTCTGTGTTACTGCAGGTAAAGTGTTGAACACGGACCTGCGCCACTACCTCAGTCTGCAGTTTCAGAAGGGCTCTCTGGACCACAAACTCCAGCAGATCATCCGGGACAACCTCTACCTACGTACCATTCCCTGTAAGTACGCCAGGCAGGCTCCAACTCACAGCACCCACAGCCAGCTGCAAGTGCAACCCAAGCCAGGAGTGTACAGTATAACCCACTTTCAGTGCATATGTGCTCTTATCTAAAGCACCTTATGGGAATAATTAGAACGCTCCAAATGCATCCCACAACTGGAAATCCATCACACAAGGAGCTGCATTAGAGCTCTCTCTTTCCATTAAACAGGTCTGTATACACACATCACAATCACTTACTTCACTCATGAATTGTCATTCAAAGCTCTTTTCATGCACACTACAAAGCACACACACTTAAGCGTCACCATGGCAACACAGTCAAGGACATCTCGATCCTGCATGTAACTTATTTACTCCTGTACCTTATCATCACCGTGATCAAAGTCATATTCTGTCTATAAATAACCCTGCTTTTTTGCTGTTGTGCTTTCTTTTGCTGACTCTGTACTCAGCCAGGCTGTCACCACCGATTATTCTTTTCCACAATCAATAATAGGTTGGTAAATAAGATTGGTACAGTGGACTGACAGGACTGCTGCACGGAATGGCAGCTCTGTTGGTAAGAGTAATTCCAGCTAAGTGGACCAGTTTTTGATTGCAGTAATTTTAACAGCTGGACGTGAGAATTTTTGCATGAAAACACATTCATGAACTCAAAGCATGTTTTGTGATGTCACACATGTTTGGAGTGGACGTTAAATATAGAATTTGCTTTTTTTTTTTTTTTTCAAGATTTTTTTTTATTGATAAAATTCTACTTTCTAAAAGCGGAGAATTTCACAAATGTTTTTTTTAGTTTCAATTTTCTAACGGATCAATAAGGTTTTTGAATTCCTTTGTTGCATTCTTTTAATTTAAAATCATGGAACTTATCAATGTTATAGGCGAATAGGTTTTTGTACAAAAAAAAGTCAAATTGATATCCAGATAAAAGTTTCTATGGGTTGTAGGAATGTTTCAAAATGTTTAAAGTCTCGCTTTTGATAAGAATTTTTTGAACTGAATTTCTAATTGTTTTTCCTTCAGCTGCTCCCTTCTGCAGAAGTCACCACAGTGACAGAACTTCCATGAAAGATTTGGCAATTGTTTTACACTGAATGCCCATCCTGGCAAAACCTGGGCTCAAACTTGCAGCCTCTGAATCACAAGACCACGACACTGACCACTGAGCGCAGACCAAAGAACTTAAATTTCTTATAATGAGATAATTACATTGAATTGCCAAACAAACAAAAAGGACATGTAAAATGTTTCTGAACTACTGAAATTTCTGGACTATTGAATGCACCTCAATATAAGCCAGGCTCAATATAAGCCACACCCACTAAATTTAAAAAGAAAATTAAAATTGTGCATAAATAGGCCACACTTTATAAGCCGTGGGTGTTCTCGTTGTAACATGAGATGTTTACACAGAAAGTTTTTTTTAAAAACTTTTAATTAGATATGTACTGGTAATACACATAAATACAGTAAATTGTTTTTTTTTTTTT